TTAGTTGCCATGTACAAGAATAAGTTCACAGACCAAGTAGTAAAGTAATGAAGACTCCCCCCCACCTCAAAGTCACTTTGTCATATTTTTGTTGCTTTGTATGAGGAAAGAGAAAAATACACAATTTCAAATCATCATTGATCACAGTTTATATTGTCATCTAGCATAAACAAAAAAACAAAAAGTATCACTTCTGACTGTGGGTGGCAAATGTTTCAAAGAAAAATGTTTCACCAAACAACCTCTTAACCCATTCTCATCTTAATTACCAATAAATTTACATAGAAATATCTTGTGCAGTTTTCTTTTTGCCAGCAGGGATATGATGATACATCCAGCAGCAAGGCCTCTGATCGGAAGAGGTTTTGAAGGGCATGGAACCACCTTTTAATTGCTATTGTTCCCAGTGTGGAGAAATTGACTGTTCGGGCCGGGGAAGGAGTAATGTACTTACCTGGGTTGTTGGTTCTTGTTGACTAAAAGCTGTTACCTTTTTACTAATTTTTTTTTTTTTTTTTTTTTTTATAGTTATAGGGTCTCGTGACGTGTTACCACGTGATTCTCGAAGTGGTTATAAAGGAAATGTTTTTTCTTCCTTCTTTTCTCTCTTCTTGCAAAAATGCAAGTTATCAAACGATTAAGCTACGTCGCAGAAGAAAATATGTTTTTCGCAACTTAAAGTAAGCACTTTTGCTCCTTTCCTCGGCCTGTACCGTCTCCGGATGTGTGTGTGTGTGCGTTGAGATTTTCTCGACACTAGGTCCACCTTGACCCAACTGGTAGCACTAGTTAAAGCCCCAGCTATGGACAAATAGTGACCCCCCCCAGACAAAAACAAAACACTAGGAAAATATAAAATTACATTTTTACAGTAAAAATACCAGCAATACATTTTTATATAAAATAATTACCAACAATATATATTTATAGTAAAATGGCGAACAATACGTTTTATGGTAGAATTACTTACAATACATTTTATAGCAAAATAAATAACGATATATTTTATCTGTAGTTGAAGACATACACTTCCTTTCAAAATATACTTAGTTGAAACCATAAAATTGTATTCAAAATATTTAGATTTCAGCATTAAATAACCCATAGGGTTGTTTATTTGTCGCTAAACAAAATCAACAAAAATCTAGCCTCCATAATATAACTAGAGGAGTTGCCAGGTATATCTATCAGAACCTAAGAAGCCTGCATTCCGTCCAGTTACGATCATCACCATCAATAACAATTACATTTAATGTGATTAATGTGATTAGCCTCCCCCCTCTGCATTTATTGCTGCAATCAGGATTTGATCCTATGTTTATCAAGTCCTAAGGTGAACCACACTTCACCACCACATGTATTGCCACATTTGGTTGCCGTTGGAAAGGATAAGTTCGATCAAGTTGCACACTAATGAAGTGAATGCAATGAACTCGACTGGAATTCGAACTCGTCTATCCGAACCTCTGTCCGCCGTACCTTGCATTTAATTTCGCGCAAATACCCTTGGTAAAGGTATAAATCCGTCACTCATCCCCCAGCTATGGGTTAAATAGCAAAACTCATCTGAAAAATATATAATCTCCAAAAAGTTATTAATGCAATATTCACTCTAAAAAAACAAAATTATTCTTACAATACAAAATATATTTCGGTATTAAATACTCCTAGTAGATTAAAGCGTTGTTTCATTAATTGGTGAGATAGTAATTGTGAGTTCAATCCCCGGACCGGGCCGTGTATGCTGGAACTCAGTGGAAACAAGACGGGCAATAACGGAGCTTTATAAAAAAAAAAAAAAAAAACTAGAACAAAGTACCAAGAACTGTCTACTCCCGTAGATTAAATAAAGGTTTCAGTTCGGATTTCCCTGTAGGTTACACGGTTCGCCGTACACCTGATGAAGGCCGGAGGGTACAGCGACAGAAACGTTGTGATAACAAGAACAAAGATGACGGCAATAGTTCGCATGTAAATAGTATAAGTCACCCAGAAAGTGTTGAGAAGTCAAAAAAAAAAAAAAAAAGAAAGAAAAAAGAAAAGAAAAAAAAGCCAAGATAATTATTGCCAACGTGCTTTCAAAGTCCCGAAATTAATGGAATGGTTCCTAGTCTCTTATTTTATTTTATTTTATTTTATTTTATTTACAGTAAGGTTCAGTCAAAAGGAGTAATGAATAGCGACTCGGATTAAGGAATCGTAGAACCGAGTTTGATTTCCAGTCGAATCCATTACATTCACTTACGTGCTGATAATATTCTTGGGAAAGCTATGGATCCTCTTCTTCCCCCAGCTATGGGTAAATAGCAGGAATATACCGGGTATAGCTTGGTCTACAACAAAAAGAAATGACAACTGCGGGAAAAGATACATGATCGCCTAAGCGTGTATCACGCATGGCACATAACTGACTGACTGACTGAAGGTTCACACTGTACTGGTGGCCACTCGAGGTAGAGATCTACAATAAGGGGTAGTTTATATGCAGAGTACGGGGAAGATGACAGTTGAACGGGTTAAGATTGTAGTGATCGAAAAAAAAAACATACTCTTGGGGGTCTGTTACATAGGGCAGTGGTTCGCGGGAAGAGTGGAACTTACCCTCTCATCGGAGGGGATGCGAGTGGCATGGCGCGTCCTGATGGTAGTTTGCTACGATGTAAGTGGCATGGCGATCTATGAAGGTTAAACCTGGTGGAACAGGGAGATGCAGTTCATCAGAGCAGCAGCGATAGAGCAATGAGAGACTCGCCACATCCCGCCTGCGAGAGAAAGGTTGACCTGTGAAAACAACGAAATCAACAATACTCCATTTTAGGCCTGATCTATCTCTTATATGCTCAGGTACTTAATCATTTTACTTGCATCTTTAGCGGTGGTTCGTATATAGGAATTCTACTTGAGGTCATGATTTTGAGGCCCAATATCCTCTCACGGCACGGGGCTTTCTTGAGGGGACATCCGTTCATCGTGACTGACGGTAGTTCGGGGTCTGATCGGCGTTGGTGGGATGTAACATGTTTGGTTTTAGAGGCATTGAATGTAACCAGCCAGTGCTTTCCTCAGTGTTAGATCGGGAGAGATGTCAGCTGCCAATCTCTGATCATCAAGACTTTTAGGGGTGCGCCCGTATCCTTCCAGATACTAAACTAATAGACAACTTTTTCTTCATCATTTAAAGAAATATATATTTGAATTAATAACGATATTCATGCAAAGCATGATGGGAAAAAATAAAAACTACTTCGAATAATATTAAAACAGTAAAAAAAATAACGCAATCAATACAAAAATGTCCACATTAAAATTAAAATCAATAAAATACTAATTTATTGTGTCACTCAGATATATTAGGACTGATTTTTAATGGAGAGGCAGATGGATTATTTTAGATATTCTTTATGGTTATATCTATTTAAAAAATCACATAAGTTACCTCCCAATACCTGTCTATATCTCTGAGATTAGGTATTAGGATTATTTACATTATTCAAACTGTTATCCTCATCTTCATTGCCATCTTTCACAACGTTTCGACCAAGTGGATAAAGACGTTGGTTAGATCCAGTGACTACACCCAAAGAGTTGTGAGTTCAATACCAGGCTACAGCAGTAGTGAACAAAAACATGGAGAGTTGAATTAAAGGGAAAATAACTGAAACATCCGAAAGAGGCATGGCGCGTGGAACTAGAATAAGCTACTCCGGTGGACGAAATAAAGAAGGCCTGAGCGTACAACGGCCGAAATGTGAATATGGCAATGAAGATGAGGATAACAGTCTGAATAATGTAACTTGTAAAAAAAATATTGAATTTACGTTGTTAACGCAATGCACATCCCTAGATATACAACCCCTGAAGATGGTCTCAGATGAGATTGAAAGTGCTTGGGAGAATGTAAATTATTTGAAAGAATTTTGAATTTTTTCTTAATCAATTTACAGCCACCAAGAAATTAATTGGCGGACTCGAAGGATGAAAATTAAAATAAATAGACATAATACATCTAAATTATTTCACCAAAATTGCTTGAATGAAAATATGCTGCCTAAATATAAATACACACACACACATATATGACATTTTTTATGTTAATACGTTCTTTTTATAGATACAAATATTTAAGTAAATGCTCCGTTTATAATAAACAGGATTAACGACATTTACCGGCCTGAATGCGACCTCCGGCAGGAATCGAACCTTTATCCTACACGGAACCGTCATATCACTTGACGTGCTTTACCGATTTAGCCACAAGAGGAGCTTTTCGGTTAGCAAGGTCGATTTTTACTGTTTTTAAACTAGAATTCTCCATGATTTTCTCTCGTACATTCATATCTGCTCGATGCGTATTCAAATGTAAACAAATGATGTCACATATTATGAAATGGACAAAGTCCGACAATTATTGAAGACATTTTTTTTTTTATGTCCTAAAATAATTGTCGGACAATCTCCATTTTTATTTATTATATATATATATATATATATATATATATATAATATATATAACAGACCACTTAAAGGACTGTGGTGAAATAATTTATTACATGGAACCTTAAAGTGGTCTGTTTTTATTTAAATTATTTGCTCTGGATTTACATTGAGCTCTCTGGATTTTATCCTCCTTAGGTTTACCCATACGGATTACCTAGTTTTTCATAAACTATATATATATATATATATATATATATATATATATATATATATATGATTCATTATTCACACAAAAAACAAATGCAAAGGTTAATGATTTAATTGGCGAGAAATCCATCGTCGCAAACAATTCAAATAATATACAAAAAACCCTCCGAATCCGTTATGAATGAAAAGATCCTTGTTTTTATAAATTTCTGCCGCATTAGTTCTTATTTTTACTACAAGCTTTCGTCTGTTCCTACAGACATCTTCATGTATGGAATAGATGTTGTTCTTGTTTTTCTCTTAGTAATAAGAGGACAACGAAAATATAATTGTTGTATGAAAATGCTAAGATAAACAAGATTTTATAGATAGATAGATAGATAGATATAAAAACACTAATATATAGATAGATAGATAAATATATAGATAGATATAATAGAATGAAGACACTAAATATAGATAGATAGATAGATATATAGATATATTTAATACTAAATATAGATATATATAGATATATAGATAGAAGAGATAGATAGATAGATAGATAGATAGATAATATATATATATATATAGATATATAGATAAATAGATAAATATATATATATATACTAAGATATATATTATAGATAGATATTAACATAATAAGATAGATTTAAATATATAGATATAAAATATATATATAGATAGATATAGATATATATATATATATAATATTTTACATACATTTAGATTTGCCAATTGAGACAGGCAGACAGAAACGTTCAATATGGTCCATACCAAAACGCCTGATCATGATAAATATCAAACAAAAAAAGTTTTTATTCGCCTGAAATTAAACCAGTCGGATAAAATTGTCTATTTTGAAATCTTCTTAAATTAATGAACTTTTGTTTATACCATTTAAAAAAAATAACAATAATGTTTCTTCACTTAATTAACTTATTTACCAGATTAGCGCCATAGAAATTGTATGCGAAAGTAATCGACTGAGCGAACCCGTTAAATGAAAGTCATTTATCAAGTCAAAACTTGTGTGAGAACAACAAATAAATACACGTATCTATATGGGGTAATAACGTTAAGAATACACCAGGTGGTTTTACTTCGTTGTATTTTTTGGTTTGATATTTTCCCTGTTATAGACATTTTTTACTAATTCAAAACGAATTTATAAATAGTTTCCTTTTAAATTTAATTTTTTTTTTCTTTTTTATGTGCCGTATCCCTTTAGAACGTGAATGATCATAGCTCGCCTATCCTTTGTTGCTCTTAGCAAAGTTTGACCTCCCACCACCACCACATTACTATCCCTCCTATTCTGCTCTGCATTGATGCAAACACGCTAGGCATGGAACTCACTGTTTACCACTGTGGTTCTTATCGTGGCTTCAGATGTTTGGAATATTTATATATATTTCCTTTTACAAATCCGAGAAATTTCATAATTTTATTTTTTTTCTTTCCAATTTATTTGCTGGCTTTTTTTTTTTTAAACATAAATAAAATTATCATTCTTATATGTTGCTAATCCATTTATTTTGTTGTGAATTCTTTTTTTTTTAGATTGTTATATGTAAAAATTTCTACTGAACTCTGCTAATAGACTGACAGTTAATTTTTATTCGTTTGTCTTGCATTCCCTATAAATCAACTTTATAAAAAATTAAGTTAAGATCCGTGGATAGATAATTCCAAAAAAATTTACCATATAAATACCAATGTTTTTTACATATTTCGCAATCGTCATATATATATATTGCGTTTAAAAATGAATATATATATTTATATACGTTATATATCTATATTGATATTTTTTCCCATAAATAAACAAATAATTAAAAACTATATTTTTGCATATTTATATATATATATATATATATATATATATATGCATAAATATATATATATTATTAAAAAAAAAACTTAAAATTTTTCAAAATTATATAATTTAATTAAAAGCATTAGTTCTGTTTTATCTTCAATCGAATTTTCGAATTTTAAAATTTTAATTTAATTTAATTTTAATTTAATTATATAATTGAATTTGAAGTTTTTAATTTATGTTTCTGAAACATGGTGATTCCTGTGTAGCGATGGAACCATATTTTTAAATAAGTTAATTTATAATATTTATGCTCTCTAAATTTTGCATAATTATCAATCGTTTTTTTTGTTGGCGACTTACTTGTTAATAAAAATTGATGTTTTGTTTATTTTTTTTAATAAAAATATTTTTATTTTCAGGTTATAAAAATGCGTGTCGATAATCATACGCCCCGGAATAATTATTTAAAAAAATTATTGTTCAATTGTTATGTTTATTTTTTAAATAAATATTGTTTAATAAACGCCTGATAATTATTTTTCAACCCAATATTTTTCTATATATATATATATATATATATATATATATATATATATATATATATATAGGAGAGGTATTTACATTTATTTTTGTGCGGGTTAAATTGAGAACAAGCCTGATTAGGGACCCCGGAAGATGCTTTGTGACCCTTGCTATCTTATCAACATTTGCTTTTTCCTACCTACATTTACGTTACAAATTAAACTAAGACCAAATGACTAATAAAGGATAAAAAAAACCTCGCCTATTTTGACGTCATTCTGAGGGTCTTTTTTTTTTTTTTTTTTTTCGTCCAAATCGGTGAATTTGTTTTGTTCATGTAAAAAACACTATATAAAATTCACAATTTTTTATCCATAATGTTGAATGTGTTAAAAATAAAATTATTCAACTTTTTAACGAGAAAAATCTCAAGTTGATGTTAAAAATTGCCACAAAATATTGTTGATTTATTTAAGATGGGATGATCTATTATGACATGTCTCTAATTTGTATTTAGATACATATGTATCCATTATTGTACATAATTAGATTTCAATAAAATTTGTATTTCATATGTATACTCCCTTATGAAAATTGAGATATAGCAGAGTAGCTATGGTCGCAAATGAATAGCAGGCTATTTTATATATATATATATGAACTATATAGATACCTTTAGAACGAGATATAATTGTGTGCGTATTCACGATCATAGGTAAACGCAGACGCGCGTATGTTAATAAGCGGTCGTATATAGATTTAGTTAAGTGTATTGATACCTGGTCGTATACAAATAAACCGATTCTAAAAAAAAAACAAAAAACATTAGCACTCAGACTAAGTTGGTTTAAAAAAAAAAAATTTTTGAAAAGATGGCCATAATTTTTTTCTATAAAGAAATCTTCAATATTTCAAGATTTTTAAGTTACTGCCGGCTGGAAAAGCAGTTCGCTTCCGTTACATTGTATTAATAAACATGGCTTTTGGCTTGTTCGTATTAATCTTTTATTTTGATCAATGCAAAGTATTTTATGTGTATTGTTTTTTATTGGATCTGTTCTCAATCCATTTGCTTCTTTTTGTTTTAATTCTTTTCTTTTCTTTCTGTATGTTTGTATGTTCATATTTATGTATATATATATATATATATATATATATATATATATATATATATATTATATATTTTATATTTTTATATATATATATATATTTTTTTTTTTTATATATATATATATATATATTATTTATTTATATATATATATATATTGTTATTTATATATATATTATATTTTTTATTTTTTTAAACCTACAATATGACAATTGAGATGTCTTATATAATATTTAATAGTTCAATATATTTGTATGTAAGAATGCCTATAATTATATTTGCCTATGTAATTTTCAATGGTTTCATATGTACAGATATATTTATGTGTACTTATATATATTTTTTCGTAAGAGTAAAATAAACTAGTAAATTCTGTAGGTGTGTCTGTATGTGTAATATTTTAATTTTTGGAACATGAAAATGTTTTTTTTTTCCCATTTCCTAGGCGGAACAAATTATATAGACGTGTGTGTGCAATGTAATCCTTCGGCATACAGTGTGTGTGTGTGTGTGTAAAATTTTTATATTTAAGAATAATGCGTGTATGAATGTGCATATATTACATGTATCTAAGTAATTAATAATAATATTCAATTTTGTAAAACTTATTTCTGTTTCGTTTTCCATATATTCATTAAAAAATGATATTTATATATATATATATATATATATATATATATATATATATATATACATATATGGTTAGAGTTTAATGTGCGTTTGGTTGTGAATAAATATATATATATATTAATGCAGAAATATTGCTTATATCAATTATGTGTGTGTGTGTGAGTGTAAGAAGACTCTGTAAATGTATATATATATATATATATATATATATATATATATATATATATATATATTTTATGGATAGATGTGAGTTTGCGACCCTGGGTTTCACGTTTTGTCTGAAACGATTAAAAAATGTGAAACCCAGGGTCACAAAATCACAATCTATCCAACCAAATATGTTAGCAAAATCTCTGATATTGAGCATATTTCTAATGAGTAATTCAATATAATATATAAATAATAATACATATATTTTTATTTTATAATATTTATTTATTATTTATTCATGATTTTATATAATATATATATATGTGTGTGTGTGTGTAATAGAAAAATTGATTAAATCCGACATATATTTAATATATTTTCTGGTTATACGCTAAAAAATGGATACAATATTTGAGTACCGGCCAAATGTAGGATAAATTTTCAAATTGTTGTTCTCCAATAGGAATCGAACCTGTAACCCATATGGACCCACCATTAAATCTGGCGTGCTATGACCGTTCAGCCACAGAAAACATACGGTTATACGCTCATAGCACTTCAAGCCTAATGGTAGTTCTATATAGGATACATGTTCGATTCATTCTTTTTAAATATTACAAAATATATCCGTATAAAAAATATATATATATATATATATATATATATATATATATATATATATATATTTATTTATTCGTTTATTTATTTATATATATATATATATACACATATTTATATATATATATACATATATATATATATATATATATACAAATATATATATAAATGTGTTTATTATATATATTTGATACATATATATATATGATTTATATATATATATATATATAAATATGTATATGTATATATATATATATATATATATGCACATTTATTGAATACGATTTAATTTTTAAACAATTTCTCTTTTATAACACTAATAAAATAGCATCATCTACATGCAAAAAAGCCTCAAAATAATGGAAGCCTTATTAATAAAAACAACAAAAAAAAAAAACAATATTTAATAATATCAACTATGAACATGGACACAGTAACTTGACCGTGTTTTGAAAAATTAAAACATTTCATAAAACATACATGCAACAAACTATTTCTTATTTAACAGTTAAAATATTTAATCCTTGAAAATGGTTAAATTTATAGCCGAAAGCGCTTGGTTAAAAAGAACATTCGGACAGTTTTTATATCATTTATCCTCAGAAAAGAAAAAAATATTAGATCGCATGAGAAATTGT